AGGTAGCTCACTAGACTTCTGTACAAAACTTGAAGCTTGCTGGTTTAGCTCTGGGTCTGCTGGCCTTGGCAACTCGACTGTAGATCCTGGCCCCCTCTCCCCTTCTGGACTGGAATCTGAGTCAACAACCTTTGAAGGCAATTCTGTAGGAGGAGTGGGTCCAATCCCTCCACTCTCTGTCAGCTGCAGTGAGCTGAAATTGGCTCACAGTCTTGGCTGTCAGAGAAAAGAGATTCATTTCTCCTCACAGTGTCCCCTGGGATACTGCCTGGAGGAAAAGCGGGGAAGGAAGGAGTGAAGTACCCACAAAGGAGCCTGATCATCTGTCAGGCTCATCATGGGTACTCTGCAGAACAGCCAGCCCACCTGGCTTATCGCCAGGCTGGGTTATCATCTCATTAGAACTCAATCAGCCTATCTGATGAAAAAACCTACTTTCTAAAAGATACTTGCGGTATTCATTGCCACTGCTTAGCTTTATAAGTGTTCATTGCTCCCTTCTTTCTTCATACCTTATCGCACTAGAAAATCCTTTGAGTAGTAAGGATGCTTTGGTTATATAATCACGTTGGCTTGGTATTAACTGTTGATTGAGGTGGAGTGCATTATTGAACTATTCCAGTTAATTAGCTTCCAAGAATAATTTGGGCTGTGGTTGAAGGCTGCAGCCCAACATACCAGCAGCACATATACAGCTCTTTGTGATTCATTGAGATTTAAGGCTGCGTAATTGTGAGCAGGACTGTGATATGAACAAATAATGACCTATTCTGTAATTTTTGGAGAGACTAATTCTGCCGATAGATGCCTTTAGCAGTTCCCAGAGATACTTGCAGCAGATGATTGTGTGCATTGAGGATTTAACTGTCCCTAGTGAATTTGTACACTCTCTGAATTAAATTCAGCTCTGATGGGGGTAATACTTTATATAACTGACAGTGATCCATACCACATAAATAGAATTAGAAAGAGATAATTAAGCTCCAGGTGGTCTTACACAAGGAAGCGAGTCCATCAAGGACTGTCCTCTTGTTAGATTTTAATTGTTAGGATTAATTTTTAAATTTTTATTGCTCCTAAGAGCAGAACCTCATGTAGTTCTTTCGTAAACTCAGAACCATGCCTGTTTGCATAGATACTTTACTGTTCAAGAATATTTGCATGCTTATGAGGAAAATACTTATTATTTCAAAACTTATTTGTTCAATATTGGGATATTGGTTTCTAAAACTGATTTGTAACATTTCCTAAATTAGAACCACCCAAAGTGATGTACAAAAGTAATAAATAAATGAATAAATAAAACATCAAGAATAACATTTGCCTTGTCCACGGCTAACCAATTTAAATAATTGTTCAGTTAAGATGAAAACAAACAGTGTTCTGTGTCAAGTCTCATGCTTTTCAGAGCTGAGTAACCAATTAATTCTTTCTATGTTTTTGGTCTGCCCCCATAATAAACTTTTTTAAAAAGCACAAATTTCACTGCTGATGTGCCCTGTTGATATGGTGGATCTTAGTATTTAAACAAAGCATATCTATAAAACAAACCTTCTGAGCTTATGCACCTATTATACTCCCCTGAAAAGTTTATTGTCGTATTCTCTTTGCATAGAAAAATATATATCCAAGATGTTCTGAAGCCACATGCCTGATAATGAATGATGTTGATTTCAAGCAGACTTTGAACGATGAATTTGAAAAGAAAGCCTGCTTACTGGATGTGACAGCAACAGGCCTGTTCTGTTCTGTATTAGGCTTTTAAAAGACTGCATTAAGTTTTGTGCTGCTGCAGATTGTTTGAGATTTGGGTTTTGATTTAATGCTCACAAGAGCTCAACAGGGTGGGGGAGGCAAGCAGGGGAAAAGAGTCACTGGTCATAGAGAAAAAGACCTTTCAAAGGTTCTGATAAAGCAGGAGCCTCAATGAACCATGAGGCATGAGATTTCTGACTGTTCTATTGAGTCACTGTTGTACGCCCACCTTTTCCTGCCTTGAAACAGTTTGCATTTTGACTATCTGAAATGATTAATGGTTGCATATCTAGCTGATTAGCGTTGTCGATGACTCTGCAGAACGGGAGGCCACAGCCTTCTGTGAGTGAATGCACTTTACTTACTCTCTTCCTTTTCTCCTTCTTTGTAAGTAGTTTTGAATCTTAACAGATGCAGACTTGCAGTATATGGCATAAGTCTACCGTGAGATTTTTTAAAACCATGCTATCTTGCTGATTGTGTGGTAGATCATTCACTGTATTAAGTCTTATCATGCAATGTATTATTATGCAAAGCAATAATAACATGCATTTTATAATGCAAAACAATCTTCTCCTAGATAGATATTTTTTAAGTCTTAAGAGGAGTATGCCTAGGTGAAAGGGGCAGCGTGGGGGAGGGGAGAGAAAATTTTCTGGCTTGCTCCAGTAATGATGAAATCATGGTATTATCACAGGCATATTAAATGCAGGAAACACTAGCTGCCTATACAATAGCTCCCAGGAGTGATGTATATTTTCACATACTTTGATGGGGTCAAACACATTAAATACTAAAACCACGTGACATAAAATATAAGAACAATAATATTTCACTTGCTCAGTGCCATAAACAGTATTTTTACTAAGAAGCAACAATTTCCATTGGTGTAAATACTTGCATCAAATTTGACTTTCTATTTAGAGCAAGCTGTTCAGTTCACTCAGTATACCAGGATAGCGTTCATGGCCAAAGACGCTTATGGCCAGTGCAACTTAGAAGAGAGCCCTTCATTCAGTTTTATTAATTCAGGATCTAGTCTTTGCTTGTTTCTTTTAAAAGCAGAGGATGCAAAAGACTGGGACTATTCCACTGTAGAGTAGCTTGGCTTGCAGTGGACAGCTCAATGTAAACATCAACCCAGCATGCAGCTGCTGTGGGAAGAAAAAAAAAAAAAGCAAATTGGAAAATAAAACTGCTTATCTCATACTCTCCAAATCCATTGTGTTCGCACCTTTGGACACTGCTTGTGATTCTGGTCATCACACTTAAAAATGGATACTGTCAAGCTGGAAAAAGTGCAGGAAAAGACAACTAGAACGATTTTAGGTCTGAAATGACTCTCCTATGAGAAAAGGTTACAACATCTGGAACTGTTTTGCTTAGAAAAAAGTGAGTAAGCAGGGCATGATAAGAGGTGTAGAAATTTATTTGAGGTATAGAGAAAATGGATAAGGAGACATTTTTTTCTCTTGCTGTCATTATACTTGAGCCTGGGGTCCTTCCATGAAGTTGATTGGTGGGAGGTTCAGTTCAGATAAAAGGAAGTACTTCTTCACACTGCACATATTTAAAACTATGGAACTCACCAACACAGGGCAGTATTGGCCATCAGTTTGGATGGGTTTAAAAGGGCATTAGACGCATTCCTACAGGAGGCGGCTAGGAAGGGCTACTAGTCCTGACGGCTATATGCTTCCTCCAATACAGAGGCATTTGAGGGGGAGCATGGGTAGGAAGGTGCTGTGGCATCCGGCTTGTGGATTTCCTGTGGACAGCTGATGGGCCATTGTGTGAATATAAGGCTAGACTAGATAGAAAACCACAGTGCTGAGTCTGATCCAGCACTGCGGCTTTTCATATGTCCTTAAGCTTTGTGCACAGCCATCCTACTGCATGCAGAACTGATCCTGGGGATGTGGCTCACAGGACTTGAGTTACAACAATGTAAGACTTAGTCAGCAACCTTCCCTTTCTTTCTGCTCTCACTCCTCCCCCTGCCCCAGGAGAAACCTTTAGTGTTGCCTCCTTCATTAAAAAAGTCTGCAGCCTCTTTCTACCTTCTGTCTTAATGTAGACAGCTCCCCAAGCCAGCTCCCTTATCCCACTTAACATTGAGCCTCATGCAGAGTTACTGAAAACTCAAAAGCGTGCTCATTATTTTGCCCCACTGTGGTTGATTGGTCCTAAGAAAAGTATTGCTCTGCTGTGGTTTTGGAATTTTTCTTAGGGATTCTCACAATCGCCTGTACTTCCTTGGTTGGTTGGTTGGTTGGTTGGTTGGTTTTTTACATTGTTGATGCAGGGGCCTGCTAGCTGCCTCTGTTGCTCTGAAAAGCACCATGTAAAGTACTATGCATACCATATTCCATGTGAAAGAAGGAAAAGTCTCCATCCCTGCTGCGTTCCCTTTTACATTCCTTGCTTAACCTTATATGAGGCCTGTTATGTGGAACAAAATGTCCTTGATGTGCAGTCACTAAGGGTACACCCAGAAGACTCTATTTGCAGAGCACTGTTCCTGTTGTCCCACACCTTTGCAACTATGAGCAGTGCTTCAGCCTACAATTCCCCCTTCTCATTCCTAGACCTGGCAGGGATGCTGTGGAATTGGTCTAGGTTCTGAAGGTTTACACAGTTGACTTTTTGCACTCACCATGGGATAGGTCTTATTGTAGGGCTGGGCAAAATATAGTTCTCCAGATGTTCTGGGCTTCAACTCTTTTAATACTGTGCCAGAATGGCCAGTGGCCAGGAATTGTGAGAGTTAAAGTCTCGAACATCTGGAGATCTACCTTCTGACCACCCCAATCTTCATGGATATTTAGCCCTTCTTTGGTTCATTACTGCCACTACAAGATGTGCACTGCAGTGCTGAAAATGCTGTCTGGAATCTGGACATGTCCTAAGAGCAAGTGTCTACAAGTGCTTACAAGCACTTCCTGCCTCAAAGCAGTAATGGGCATTTATTGTAAAAGACATTGGCTCTGTGGAGACATTGTCTCTAATTATTTTCCCGCCATCATCTCATCATCTGATATTAAAATAAGAATCTTAAATTTGCCACCCTTGGCAGAATGCCAAGCATTAGAGTGAAACTAGAGCAGAAGACTGTTTCTTTGTTCCATTCGGGCTTAAAGTTTTATTGTATCTGGGATTGTAAATACCTTTGATTTTTCTTGAGGATATATGCAATGGCATTTTTATAGTCATTCCTGTTCCCCCTCTTTTATCCATCCTTACAGGGAAGAGCTTTACCTTGACAATAACAGTCCTTACAAATCCCCCCCAAGTTGCTACATACCACAGAGCTATAAAGGTGACGGTGGATGGACCAAGAGAACCAAGGAGTAAGTATTTGTGGTCTAGACTCTTGTGCTATTAATGTATGGAAGTAAACACTTGTAGATATGCATGGTTTTGGTGTATGATACAACGTTTTCACCCTGTATTCCAAATCAAATTCTCACTGTTGAGGTAATCCTTGATCCACTGTAAACAGTCCTCTGTTTAAGTGAGTCTAATTGTTCCAGTAATCAGATTTAGAGCTTATGCACCCAATCTAATAACAGGGCTGTAACTCATGACAATTTCATTGAAAGATAATGACATTCAGAAAAAGTTCATGGACTCCTTGAGCAATGTGGTGGCCTCATAGGATGCAGACTGTGTGTGTCTCCACAGAGTTTGCTTCTACTGTGAAGTCGTTCTCACATTGTTCAGGATGGCTTTATCTATTCTAGATCTCCTTTCTTCAGAGGTTCCCCAGTATGATTAACGTTCACTCACACCAGAAGGGCACAAAATAGTTAATAGTGCAAGGAAGCAACAATATGCATTGGGTTTTCATGACCGAGTTACCCTCAATCATGTTGGGGTAATAGGTCAAGACAGCATCAGCTAAACATGCTCACAAACTAGGAATTCAAGGCTTGTGTTCGTAGAACAGTTTTTTGATATCATTTCTCCAATCTGGAAGTCATACATCCAATGCCCTGCTAAATTCAGTAAGATAAGGAAATAAGTGTTTGATTTTGCATTTCATTAATGAGATTCAATCCTAGAGAGCTAATATTCATAGGAATGTGTTCACACCAGTCTAAATGTAGTAGTTGGCCTTCTGCTTAGGAACAAGGCTATGATTGCTTTAGTATGTTTGGATGTGTAATTTTCTAGTACTTGAGCAAATGTGCTCATGATTTTATAAAGAAAAAAATCCAAGTATGCGGAAATTGAGAATGCCCTTGTTTGCTCCTGAGGATTTTTTAAAAAAATCAAATCATGATTATTTCTGGTCTTTTAGGCAGTGGTTAAATTCCTCATGTACAAAATTACATTTTCTTAACTGAGGATTCATTTTTAGCAGTAGAATCACCACAGGACTTGGGAATAAACAGCGCATTGATATGATATAGTCAACCTTTATTTCATGTCCTTCCCATACCTGGGAAGGCAGTGGCAGACTTCTAACAATGATTCCTGCTTCAGAAACCATAGCTTGACTATAGATTATGAAACCTTTCGGGCTGAGTGGTCCACTTGGACTCCTTCCCTCTCCTGTTTCCCTTTAATGCTTGATGCCTAGAGATGAGTAAGAAATACATTCCAATTTGTTTTTACCCAATTCGCATCTCCCAGAGCCAAATTCAGTCTGTAACCTAATGTCTGTTCATTTTCAGCTCTGCAATATGATTCACACAACAGGCACTCTGATTTTGGAACAGGAGCAGGATGCACACAACATACAAAAATGTATTTGGAAAATGTTCATGAGCACATATACTCACAAACACACTTTAATCAGTGGGAGAAAATGCATAAATAAAATATTTGGAAAAATTTGCAGAATACACACATACTTTCTGGTGAAAAAAGAAAACAACAACAACAAAGAGCTAGCAGTCTGATACAGACACAAGTCCAAACAAGCCCTAGGGGTGCAAGCTGAGAACTTCAAGGAGCTTACATATAGCTGATTTCCACTTGTCTCTTGATTCCTGGCTTGTGCTAGGACAGAGTTCCTCATTACATGTGAGCCAAGGAACCCTAGCTTAATCACCTAACAATGTGATCCTTTGTATATGTATTCCAAAGTAGAAACCCAGAAACAGAGCTAGTCAGAAGGGTCCTCCCGGGCCATCTAGTCTGACCCCTGGCTCCAGTCGACTCTGCTCACAACATGCCCACCATGTGCAATTCCAGCCTATCTTTGAACACCCTTACCAATGGGGCCTCAACGACCTCTCGTGGAAGTCCATTCCACACCCTTGGGGTCCTGACTGTCAGGAAGTGCTTCCTGGCATCCAAATGGAACCTTGGCTCCCTGAGCTTTGCTCCCTTGGAGCGCATCCTGCCTTCCTCTGCAGGAGAGAACAGGTCTCTACCCACCTCCGTGTGACATCCCTTCACATGCCTGTATGTTGCCAACAGATCCCCTCTGAGTCTCCTCTTCTCCAGGCTGAAGAGACCCAGTTCCCTCAGTCTCGCCTCATGCCCAATCCCCTGCAAACCGGCCACCAACCTTGTGGCCCTACGCTGCACTGACTCTAACCTGGCTATATCCTTCCTGTAATGAGGGGCCCAAAACTGAACACAATTTGTAATTTGAACACAAAGTAATTTTCAAATAAAGTAAATTTGAATACAAAAGTAATTTTACTGAACACAAAGTAATATCCATTTTGTTCAGTGAGAGCTAATCTTGGGTAAATGCACAGTGAACTGCAGCCTAAGATCACGTGTATCCTACTTTATACTCAGGGGTGCTCCAAGTAGCTTATACAAGGCTTGCATAATGACACTGCATTCAAGTTTAGTTCTAGAAACAGAAATAACATGGCACTCATTGGGCTGCCAGGAATATTATATAGGCAGCATTTCCTGCTGTCATCCTTTTTTCCCTTGATGTTCCTTTGTGGAGCCTGGCAGCTAGATTTATTTGTTTGACAGGTGTACAGCTCTGATTTCAGAGTAGAGCCCCCACAATGTGGATTATTAAGGGACTGGGTCCATTTCTCCTGCAAAAGTGCCTTCTAGGGATGTGGGGTCAAATTCTGACTCGGATGGGGAGGAGGCCTTTGAATTTGCAGCTGGGATGCCTGACTAGTGTCCCTGAGATAGGTCAGGAGATAGCTGACAGTTCAGGAAGGCAAAGTGAACCTACAAATGAAGAAGAGGACCACTTAGCCATCACTAACCTCAGGGTCTGCAGTCAGCTCAAGAGGGCAGATCAGCTGAGAAGTGCTCCAACTGGCCCAGAAGGCTTAAAGGCACATACATGTAATATGAGTTTTAAAGGGAGGGTGAGATATTTAGTTTGGAATCAGCTTGTTATCAGTAGGTTGGACTTCCTTAATAGCTGGTATTCTAACTGTGCTGTTTTCTTCTGTTACTGACTTCTTTAATAAGCCAGTCAAATTGTCTTACATTAACTTAATAAAGCTTTTAGAAGGAAGACTATTGGCTTGGAAGGAAGGGGAGAATTATGGCCTTGCCAGATTGTAACATACTTTTAAACACAAGGTAAATAATAAAATCAGAAAGCCAATAAATATTCAATTCATAAATGATTAAATAATATAGCGATGGCAAATAGGCTCTTGGCTAAAAGCAGAGTACATTAAAATGAAGCAAATGCAGACTACAACAAATAAGTCATTAGAATCCTCCTCCTAAATGACAGTAAACAGGGAACCAGAAACACTTCCTTAGGGCAGATATCCCAAAGATGTGGTGCCACCACTGAAAGGGCCCTGTCCCACAGCTCTTGCTGGTAGACCAAAGAACTGGAGCTCAAATGTGAATCTTAAAAGTTTGCATAGGTTTATACCAGTCTTTTCAGATAACCTGCCCTCAAACCTGGGCTAAAACCAATACTTGAAATTGGACCTAAAAATGACTATGCAGCCAGTGATACTGATTCAATATAGATGCCTAGGTATATAGATGACAAGATGCCTTGCTCCTATAAGTTTTCCAGCTGTTTTCTTAGCATCAGTTGCAGTTTCCAGATGATATTCAAGGACAGCCCCACATTAATGCACACTGTAGTAATCAAACCTAGATGGACCTAGAGCATGTATTACTGATACCTGCCCACCTCCATCCGGATCACCAGATTTTCCCATTCACATCTCTTCCATCTTTTCTGGGTTAAGTTTCAACTTGTTTGCCCTCCTCCAACCACACACTGGCTCAGTGGCCTCAGGAAGAATACAGGTCTTGCTGCACCATATAGTGTATGTTTCCCTTCGGATAAGACCAGAACCTCTGTACCACCATTCCCACTAAGTCCCAGCCTGGAGAGGTGGTCCGGATGCTAGATATAAGCAAATGGCATTGTGAAGACAAGGAGAACAATTAAAAGCCATCCTGAGATACTAGTGGTGGATGGGTTAGAAAAGCAACGAATGAACAAACGAACGGTATTACACTCTACCCCATCCATTCAGAGTGCATCTTCCAGGAAGGCAGTTTCTGTCCTGGAAGCTGAATTAGTACATTAGTAGATTCTTGTCTGCTAAGTAAATCCCAGTCTGCTTTCTGCTCTTGGCTTTTTGCTGTCATGCAAGGTGGCGTGGTCCAAGGCTGACCTTTGTAGAGTGCAAGTGGATGTTGCTCTGGAGGCTGGGAAAGGGTCTTCGCTTTGGCAGAGATCCCCTTCCAACTCCAAAACTCTTGAAAAAGCCTACAGTGAGGTAAGGAAAGCTTACTCAGTGGTCCTTAAGATTTAAACACCTTAAAGATGGATCTTGAGATTTAAGTAGAGCCCTTAGAGTCAAAGCAAAAGGAGGAAGGGGGATGGGCTTGGTTAAATTGCATCCTGTTATGAAAGGTGAGCGAAACATTTGCTCAGTTCCCGGTTTTGTACTTGCCAAACTAACTACGGATTGGAATGCAGTTGTGTATCAGAATCAATACTCCTTTGAAACTCATAATGGAATTCACAAAAAAAAAAATCGCAATATGTACATTTATTTCTGTGCCCCACAGTGGAAGCTCTCAGGGCAGTTTAGATGGTTCATGCAAATAGATGATAAAATTTCAATAAAAATAGTAAAAAAATCAGAGAAAAATATTACAAGGCCTAATATTAATGAAAAAGTACATACTACAGTTTGTATATTTTAGTAAACTATGTAAGAGTGTCTTAAAGTTGCTTGCAAAGCTATAAATTGAAAATTTTGAAAAATGTACAGAAATATGGATGAAATTTCACATGGTCTAAACTCATTTACAATCTGATGAGAAAAAAGGAGAGAATGAACTCAAGTGTGGGACAGTAACAACCTGATGGAAACGGAGCATGACAGATTCACCTGTCCCTTTTCGCAGTGCCCTGCATCTCCCA